GTATTTAATACTTATTGCGTACATACTTGCAGCATGAATTAACTACTCATAATCTATTAATAAAACACTAATTTAACACACTAATTTCTTCTTTTGCTACGATGGCCACATAAAAATGAATCGAAAAAGTCTTTCCAGAATTCCTGGTAATAATTAGAAAACTAATTGGTACTTTGTAATAATTCACAATCTTAGATGTCGTTTGCAACACAAGCCTAAGAGCTCGCAGACCGGATTTCACCTGCGCCCGCGCTGGTTGTGGGACAGCGGCTTCGTAGAATGTAGTATATAAAGTGGTATAATGCGAAAAAGGGCGCCTTCAAATTAGACGCTTGTAGAAGCGCTGCAATGGCGAATCTGTGGCGCATTTTCATACAATATCTTGGCGTCTGCAAAAGTGGAGCGTGTGTGGCGCTGCAGCTGTGCTTCTATATATTGTATGAAAATTAGTAGTGGCGCGGCTGCAGCGCTTCTACAAGTGTTTTTAAGGCGCCGTTAGTAGCTTCACTATGCATTTTACACCCGTGCCATGCGATTTGCGATCATCTCTCGCCGAATTTGCGGTCCGTGCCGCAACCGATGCGGCTACGTACAAACCTGGGGTGTCGGGAGTACCTATTGAAATAAAAGAACTGCCCCGCAGTCACAGCGGGCGCGGGTGAAAACCGCTCCGTGCTTTTTTAGCCTGAGTTTCATCTCAAAGTCAGACACAGTTTGGTTTGCGTGGGAAGCAGTGAAATCTAAGCAATGTTTGATAGGGATGATAGGCTACGAGATCTTCGTATCGCTCCACCTTGATACTGTGGTGAGAAGTTTGCTGAAAATACATCACTTAAAAGCACCTTTACAAACACACACTGTTACTGCATTAAACTATGGACAAAGCACACGCTTGAATGTTGTCTCAGAGTCGATGAGATGGACAATATCGTCTAGATAAATGAATGTGGATCTGCGCACTACATTTGATCAAAAAACGCTTTCCCCGCACGGGAATAATTAAAATCGGTAATCCAATCTAGAGTGCCTATTTCACAGTTTTTCTGATCAATTGTGTCAATTTGGCACTGCTTCAGTACTTCGCGTCAAACGCAAACTGACATCATACGCATACATATTACGTACAATTTTATTTTGACAAGTCACATTCTGCTGAATTGTGACGCTTACATAAGAATAAAATTGAAGATTTGATATCATGGACTTATTGTGATGAAAACTAACATTTAAAATAATTATAACTTTTTATTAAAAAAACCGGATCTCAAAAATTTTCGTAATTACGTCTATTTAAAATAATTATAACATTTTTATTAAAAAAAACCCGATCTCATAAATTTTTGTAATTATTTGATTTACCAAGTTTTATTGAAATCGGTTAACGGAAAGTGGGTTAAATCCAACAAATCGATTTAATCCCATAATTTTTTCAAATTTGAATGCGACTACTACCGAGGTACCCCCTTTCCAACAAAAAAGGAATTATCAAAATCGGTTCACAAAATGTCGGAGTAATGACATAACACAAACAAAAAGATACAGTCGAATTAAGGACCCCTTCCTTTTTTTGAAGTCGGTTAAAAATATTCCGGTAGTCGCGAATGGAATGGTAGTTGATACCCAAAATCAACGGTTCCCAACATTCTTTACTTAACCCTGGCCGTCAAATACAGACGTGGCGCGGCGGTCCCTTATATAAACAACAATATAATATTGTCGCTTCATGCGATAAAATGTTGTTTATTTTTGTATCTCACGTAATCTTATCTCCAGCTATCCGCAAGCCGCTGTTTAAGAATCGCTGCCGTAAATAATATGGTCAATGCTTTTTAATACTGTGTAGAACATGATTCCGACAATGCTTGTTAAAACAATGCATTGTCTATGAATGACATCAACTAATATTAACATTAGTAAGCAAATGCGTTTCTGATAACGGAGAATAACATCCTTATTTTTCTCTGTTTAATACAAACAAAGCTGAAACAATGAATAATTCTGCTATCGAACAATTCGCACCCTTGGTCTAATAAGGCCACATTTTCAAAACGGCAACTTTTCAGAGGATTAGTCGGTAACATGTTTATCCTTAAATAGTAGAGTTATACATATAATATATGTGAAGTGTATTTAACTAGTTTTGTGTATATTAAAAGCCAGAGTCAGCATACATTAGCCTTTATTAGATAAAAGAGAAATGACTTCGCAAGATTCTACTTCTGAGCAGGCAGTCACACGAGGTATATTGCGTCTGCAAAATGTCATACTTCACATTAGTTTTATTCACATGATATCAAGTAACGGGATAAATAAGCTGTGCGCCTGTCTGGTGGTAAGCAAAACACCTTTATGTAATAGTTACAGTGCCACTCAGAGCTTCTGTCGAGCACTGCCATTACGTCTGTCATCCTGAGACATATGGTTAAAAAGTCCCGTGTGCCTGTAAGTTTCCAGTCCGCTGTCGGCAAATTCGAACTTCCTGCGCACCCGCAAAGATGCCAGTATGACATTTTTTTTTAAATTGCATTTTGTTTAGGTTGGGTGTCACAGCCACGGACTAACATATGGTATTTTGATACCTGCCCCCGTAGCATGGCTATGCATGATAGTCGCGACACGCGCGATAAAATTGAAATAAGCGCGCGCTATTGGCTATCTAAATTAGATCTGATTAAGGCAGCCAATAGCGCGCGCTTAATCCATGCGTAGCCATGTTACGGGGGCTGTTAAGAAATTTTGGACGCAAATAGAGTGGTGGCACTTGTGACAACCCTTGACATTCAGTGTTTGTATTGTCAGCCGATGAAATAGCCGAATCATCTTGGATTTTGAATTTCGATTCGATTTCGGTTGCGCAGCGACCTCGTGCATCTAACTATCATGGCAAAGTACGCTCTGTTATTTAGCATTTACGTTTTAACTTAAATGAGCGCTGCTTGTCTTTGGTCTACGCGGCGACCGCGCGGTTGTATTATTCAGAGGAATTTAAATGTTGTTGCATAGTAAATAAAATTCAGATTCGCCATTAATGTACGTGAAAGCGTGGTAACTAAAACTTTCGCGTCGTGTACAAGCACATGGGACTTGTCAACTTATGTCTAACGGTACTCACCCATCTGATCTTTGTGATTTAAAACTCTGAGTGTCATTGCAACTGTTGTCGATAGGCGTGTCGCTTACCACCAGATGCACGACGTGTTTGTCCCGTCACTTTGTTTTATAAAAAAGAAGATTGTTTGAGTGTGTTGTTGCTACGTGTACAAATATTACCGTGGACGACTGTAACGAAACCTAAGATATAATTTATATAACTGCGGAATGGAATGGAAGCGAGGTTTTGTAACTATAGCATAATGTAGTTTATGTCAATTGGACGTAGTTAAACAAAAAGGATCCAATGCACATCCAGTCACTTTCGAGATATGGCAGTGTGAAGTTTAAAAGTGTTTCTCACTCTTCTTTCATTTTCAAAACTTATAATGTAACTCCAGAGATATTTATTTATGTTTATATGTTGGATTTTTTTGCTGATTTAAGAAGTTTTTTTTGATAATTTTATGGATTGGATCCTTTTTGTTTAACTACGTCCAATTGTGTAAAACGCTTATTACACTAACCGATTTCAAGGGACCCTAACTCTAACTAAGGCCGATGTTGTAACCGCTTGTTGACGCAGATCTGCATCTCCGTACGTGATCTGACTGATCCGTCACCGCACCCGTGACCCGTCGTCCCGCACTCCGCTGCATGATACGGGGGAGTGTGACAATCGCCATACCTTAACGTATATATTTTTACGTTATATTTGTTCGTCGCCATATATTTGATATAAAGTTCATTGTGCTATGTGCAATTTCGTTATAGAAATTTGCTACCATTCGCCTCAGCGACAATGTAAATTAAAGCTAAATTGTCATATTTCACTTATCGAAGTGGTTTTTGTAACATTTGGTAACTGTATTCATGAGATAAAATTGGTTATATAGGTATCCGTGGTGGTAGGAACTATATATTATTGTAAAGTTTTATATAACCTATAGCTATTTTTATGTTTAAAGTACATTAACGCTTTTTTTACAGCGTACCTACCATTTTTATTATTGTAATAACTGTGATAATAACCTCAAACCTTACAAATTATGTTGTATTTATGTTTTAATAACTTATGATGACTCAAGTTATTGCTTAAATACAAAACATTTGTGTGAAATCCAATATTTTGACATCATGGTTTATAAATAATTGAAAATTATTAAATTGAAGACAATGATGTTTTATATTGAATAATATTTGAAAATTAAACTATTTTTGCGGATCTTAATCGAGTATATTTGTTTTTTTAAACAAACCGACATTTCTAGCACTTTATTTGTCCCATGGACGACAGCCAGCCGTGACATGACAGTCAATGTGTAGCAATGCGAAATCAAAATGAACTAATTGACATTGGCGGCGCTTGCCATTATTTTTATATTATTTTTACAAAACTGACACTGGCAGTGACCGCCATTAAAGAAAAATAGTATTCTAAGAACTCGATAAAAAATATTGATACAATATGATAATGTTGTAATTAATTACTTTATAGTTTGATGTTGAAGTGATCCTTCAAAACCTACTGCTTCTTGTCGTTTTATCTACACAAAATCCTGCGTGTAGGAGGTAAATACATCGAGCCAGCAATGTTACACGACTTCCCCGCAGTGTCTGCAAACAGACCTTCTATTGAAAGAAAGAAAGAAAAATAGTTTATTTGGTAACCATAATACAAATAGAACGTAAAAACAAAATTGGTCCATAATACAATAAATAGATTGAACCGCATTGTAATTGGATATCATTACTTAATTCCAAACTTAAACCAGACAATTTTACTCACTGTACACACTCAGTGAATAAATAAAATTTTATTCATTACCAGACTTTAAATTAAGTAATTGAATATAATTTTTGGACTTTAATTAAACTGATCAGAGTTTCACAAGCGTTAAATGTTACAGTCGTACAGCCTCGGGCTCTTCCGGTCGGACTACCTGATGCAGCTGAGAGATCAGAACAGGATAAAACAAGTGGAGTTCAATACGATAGCGTCAAGTTTCGGCGGCATCACTTCCTTCCTGCCCACAATGAATCGGTACACCGACATGTTTTATGTGTGACACTTTGTGAATGCTTGGGTTTACAACTAGCTTTTGTCTTCTTTCGCGTCCGCGTTAATAACAGTAGGACACCTATGTGCTAGGTATAAAGCGTTGGCATTAGTTGCAATTACAAATTAAAAGCAATTTATATATTTTTTTTAATTGCACTTTGGTGTACTTAAAGGATACACCAAACAACATGTAATTTCGTCATCACAATAATACTTATCATTACTAACGTAATCGAAATTTTTAGCGGAATTGAGGTACGTCGACACCCTGTAAGCGATTTTTTTAATATCCTATTTAGTTTCAGTTTTATTGTTAAGCGAAATCAGCGTAATTGACAATTTTCAAAGAAAAAACTATACTAAACTGCAAATGCGTTTGTTATGACATGGAGGGAAGAATAGTAAATAATCCGTTGATATTTATGTACGTCCATAGAATTTTCTAGACTTCCAAAGTCCTTCTTTCGATTCGTCTAGGGTAAAACCGGGATAGATTTAACTGCCACCGTGACCGAACGGTTACGATGCTGAACTGCCACGCAGAGGTCACGGGTTCGATTCCCGGGCCGAGATAAATATTTGTATAGCCTACATTTACTTCTCTCGTGAGTTTGGGTGTAATTTGTGGTTATCTATTAGTGTATCCATGGCACCCGCGATACAGGGTTTCCCTAGAGCGGGACTATAAGTGTGTGCGTTATTATTATCGATGCCGCAGTGGGATAGGTGCCTCGATTTCAAAAAATCTAACTTCCCAAAATCGCAAACAAAGAATAATTAGTTTAAATAAGGAGTATAGACATCACTCATCAAAGCCCCTGTAGGGCTTCGTGTGGAATAGACGCGTTTAGCTGCATGCGGATACTTCCGCGACGAACACGACAAACTGTTCAAAATTTCAGACACTCTACTCTTGACAGTCGCATAACTTTCTAAGTTATAATAAATTCCGTTTTATTTTTGTTATGACAGTGCACTGGTTCTTTAACTTTACACCTAGGTGTCAATAATAGCTCTTTTGTAGCCTCGTTTTTTCGCGGTATCGATGCCCGTAGGGGCAAAGGACAAGACAAGATAGTTAGGAAAAGAAAATCAAAAATACATTATTTTAGTGAAGAAGCCAAGTAAGTGAAGTAAATTTACAAGTAAGTAAAAGTGCCAATTTGACAAATTATTCACAGTTCAAACAGCGAACGTTTTTGTATAGAATGTTTTGATAGCTACAAAAATACGAAGTGAAGTATGTAGTATGTTTGAATGCTATTAAAGATGTAATATGTATGTACAATATATTAAATATGAATGAATAAAACATTTTATTGTGAATTTTACTAATTTTATTCTAAAGGGCATCTATCCTTCTTAGTATTTTCATCGTGTGGCGTATATCCATATAATAAATAGGTTTGTATAGGAAATAGGTTTGCAAAAAGTCAATTTCTTAAAAAATCAGTAAATGTTAGATCAATAAAACCAAGTCTAGTTCTCTAATATTTTTTTAATTAGGAGGCTGTTTCTAAAAGTGGGGCACCTATCCTGGTCTTACCCTATCGAATCGTTATAAAATTAAAGTCGAAAATCTCAAAGTATAGTTTTGGAATAGTCCATTAAAAACCCTTCGCCTCTTGTATAGTATCTGTGTCACAAATACACGAAATACGTCGGCGATTTAAAATTAAAACAGTATTTTAAACCCAAGTATGTATTAAAGTGTCTAGCATTAAAGCAGTTGTTCAGTCAACATCTCTCATGTGACTGCTGTTCTTCCAATGCACGCTCTCCATCCACCTCTGTCGCACAACCACGCTTTATATAAAGTTTGTTTCTTTCTTTTATTTGCTGTTGTGCCGTGTGATTTTGTTTAAAGACGCTATACACGTTACGATTTTACCCAATCCGATCCTTAAATCAGATAAAATTATATGCATAAAGTTTATGTCGTTTGTTCGATTAGGAAGACGCCACAGACGTGTATACAGACGCGGAATCGGCTCTAGCCAATCAAAAAAGCTTTTCACCTGTGTCGAGTCGCGTTTTCCGTCGTAGACAACGTCCTTTTCGCTATTATTGCATGGACGTAAATGTTTTTCTGACCGGCTCAAGCCGCTTTGGCGTTGATAAGTGTGGTGACTTCCATACTCTACGCATTGTCCAATTTTATCTGATTAAAAGGCTAAGATTGGAATACGATGGTGTCTTGTGCTTTTCTTGGCATGTGGTTGCAACCGGCTTATATAATGTAGTACATAGGATGAAAATGTCAGTGTCGTCCATTTGTCAAATCAATTTGTTTCATTCCCTGTGCATGAATATTTCACACAGATAAAGTCATTTTGTTCATATTCCTAGTCGATTTAGGATATAACAAATTTTGACGGAGCTTCAAGTTGTACATTAATGTAAAAAGAAACATTAAAATAATCAAAAATTGGACGGGGTTTTACACTGCCGGGCCCAGTCGAAAGAATGAGTAGAAAATATTTCTTCGACCATGTGCTTTATTTCATTACTGTATCTCGGATGGCATGTAAGATGGTGATTTCACTTTTTTTTAATGCGTTTTCACGGATATGGCACCAAGCCTAACAGTTACTGTAAAATTATCATAATTATACACAATCAGCGATAGTGTTTGAAACGTATAATTCATAACAGTCGAACCCTACAGCTAAATATAATCCGCTCGGCTATAACTTTATAAATATAAGCACTGCCGTGTTCCTTAGATAATATAAAATAGCCCCCCCAAAAAGGCAGTTAAAAAGTTGCTATCCTTTTCATTTCGAAAAAATTTAAGAGGGCGACACTATTTTCAGATTTTTTTAGCTTTATTTCTAGTCCTCTAGCCATATCTTTGTAACCGTTTTTTATATTGAAAGTGAGACGTTGTGCGGTTGAGAAAAAACAAAGTTTTTGCACTAAAATAGAACTTTAGAAATGTAGTCAAACTAAGGCTCATTTTACCCACTCTACCTACCAACCATTAAAGCATAATGACAACAAAACAATTATAATTTCTAAGATAGGACCCTATGAATTGTCATGGGAATACGAAGTTACAAATAATTAAAAATTGTGTAACGTTTCATTTTTTTTGTATTTATTATTTAATTACAATCAGAAAAAGTATTTCTTTCCGTTTTCAAATTTTGTTTTAGACAAATAGTTTTGTGCGCTTTTATTTAATGTTATGTTTATTAACGAGATTATTTTACCAAAGCTAACAAATGCATTTATGTTGAGTGAATCTAAGTTGAAAATATGTACATTCTATGTAGAGTTGTTCTTTTTAAATTATATATTTTTTAAATTATAACTTTCTATTCAGAAAAGGATGGCAACATTTTAAAATCAATAGAGATGTAAACATTAGGCTGATGTAATTCCACCTACGAGTGGGACGGTCATTAATTGTCACATAAAATGAACAGAAATATTTCAATTACGTTATATGCAAATACTATTCAATAATATATTTAAACGTGGCGTCAAATCGTCTAATTTTGCGTTTGTGCTATTATAATGTTAAATTCATTTTGAACAAACTACCTGTACCATATAAGGACACCGACAGTTTTCACTAACGACGACGTAAAATGTTTATATATACACTGTTACTTCGTCATGTGACCTCTAGAGGGCTGTACAATTTGCCAAACAACATACACAATGTTACTTCGTCATGTGACCTTTAAGGGGCTGTACAATTTGCCATACAACACTGAAAATATTGTACGCGATCGCTAACGACAAACTGTCTGTGTAAAGTCATGGTAGCGGCACAGAATGGACATGAAATGCTAGACAAATCGACACTGATATTAACAAAAAAATCGAAGCGTGTTTTGCTCTGAAATTTAGTTTGGACGCATAGGACTTTCTTTTTGGTAGTTTTAAGTATTATTTTTTTAGTTTTAGTTTTTTATATCCATTTTAATTTGCGTGCATGTATTATTTGAAGAAAGCTTTTTAGTTCACTTGAGAGATGTTACCTGTTCCACACCTGCACTGTCGGTTAAAAATTGAATTTTGAAAATTAAAAAAATCGTTATTAAAAGCTTGTGAAAGTTTGTACCTGTCCAAACACTGCCGGGTATGGTATAGTGTACACATCTTTCAAAATTTTGTTGCTTACCCTCATCCATAGAGTTAAAAAAATACACATAGAATGTGCAGTACATTTTTGTTTTCTTTAATAAATCGGTGCATAAATAAATTACTACGGCATCCAGTTCCTAGACACTGTATGTGCACTATTAGGAATTAAAACATCACTATATTAGAGGCAGCAACAGTCCACTCATTCACTTGTAAATTGCCAAGGATATAAATCAGTCATATGTCAATGGTCACTGTGGGACTTGCTAAGGTAAACACAATCAATTAGTCTTTCTTTTGACGAAATGTCAGTTAAATTAAAGCTGTTGTCTTTCAATCACGTTTTTACTTTATATAAAATTCTCCGTATAACTGGCTCAATACATTTTTGAGACCATATTTTATATTCATATTACCAACAGTAGAAGATATTTGTCAAACAGTATTAAAAATTTAAAATAATGTAACAGTATGGAACAGGGCGAAGTAGGTACGACCAAATGAATACGACGATTACGAGGGGTGCGTGCTTTAATGAACGTTATGGTGTACAGTACAGATAACTTTATACTGGAACTGAAGTAACGCCGCGTTTGCGTCGAGTCCCAGTCGGTGGAAGCAATAGGCGTTAAGGCAGGTGTAGTTTCGCTCAATTAAAGCCGTATTACAGTCCCAAATGTAGTCCTAACGAGTGGAATCTACCTGGAAGCTCTAATAGTACGCAATCGAGAGTACCTAAGGATTGGATACAAATACAAAACTCCAATGTGAGATATACTTTTCCGTGTAACAAAACGATCGCGCGTTTTATTTCGATCTCAAACCCATCTAGAGGCGACGCGAGGGTACTAAATTGTTTTGTGTTGAAATATTTGTTAGGTTGT